ATGCTTTCTCATACACTTTGTGGACGAGCTCCGTACAGATATGAACCATAAAATCCCAGCCATAAAGGTCTTGACGTTATGAACTGTGACAGAACATTATCATGAAAGCCTCTGCATTTCTTTTTCATCGACCCTCAATGGATTGCTCTGACTATGTTATTTGTGAACCCTCATGCCTGACTCATTTACTTTCAAGGTTTAGAGACAGCTATACTTTTTGTTCCTTAGCTAGCTTTCTGAAGGGATTCCGTTTCAGATTCATTAAATTGATGGATACTGAGGCCACTTACCGTTAGTGGCATTTCGCGAAATTATGGACAAAAGTGGTGTAGTTCCCATGCGACTTTTCGCAAATTGGGAAATGGACCGTGCAAGTTCCAGTGTTGTACAGAGGTTTGTCATTTTAATGATTCACCCTTGCTCTTTGATGAATATTGATGTATTGCAACTCATTACGATTTCTTAAGTGTCCACTAACATGACCACTCTGCTGAGGTCATGGGTTTTTAGTTCCTTCGTTGTTCCTACTATCTTTCCTCCTTTTATAATTCTTCTCTTCTATAGTTTTCTGGGCTCATACTCGGAGCATTAAAGTGCCTCAGCTAGTTCTCCTATTTATCCTCCAGCGGTACAACTTAATTCGCGTTATAGCTGACCCCGAACCCCTACTCCCAGAAACTTTATCTGGATCCTCTACAAAGGCTACAGTTGATCCCTTCAGGAGAATTTTCAGTATTGATCGTTCACTTTTTCTTCCACTTAATTTTAATTATTTTTCAGAGTGTGTTTTTTGAGTTTAAATCGTATCGTCCTACATTCTTTGCCGACTCAGGCGCAATCTATAGTCATCACAGCTAAGCTTGAGGTAAACCAGTCATGATTATTAGAAAGGAAATGCTCTGTTTGCTTATTTTGTCGTTCTTCATGCCCATTGCTTCATTTCAGGGCAATAAGAGGAGCTTACGTAGCAATGATATCGGAGTGATTCCACAGCATGGGCGAATCGATTTGGATCTCGATATATCCTTCACAATCCAGGTAGGGTTGTTGAAGTCTCAATCCTCGCCAACTATTAGGCAATTGTACAGCTAATTATAACATTTCAGTATCCCCATTTTGTTAAACGGAAAGGGAATAGCCTACAGATTCTTATCCAGAGAAGAAGGAAATTCAAAAGCCGGCCGTTCCCATCATCTTTCAAGGTCAGTCGAATGACTTAACAATTTGAGCTGAAAAGTAATACCGATTTGGTGATCACCTCCTTTTTTGGAACTTTTCTTAATATTCGTGGATGCCGAAACGGAACTCAGTGAACTGATTGATGCGTCGCTTTGGTGATTTATGATTCTTATTTTTCTTCGAAGGATGCGTCCTTTCCTTTCATATGCATCTAACGAAATATCTTTGAGTGGTTACAACAGTTTTGTGAATTGCCTTGCAACTTCTTTAGATATCTGATAAGAAGTATTTTCCAGCAGTGATCTTCCAGCAGTATACTTGATAGTGCATGATCAAAAATAGCTACCGATATCATGTTTTCGGTTTTAGGAGAAAAACAGGATCAAAAGGGTGTCTGGTTCAAGTGATGTCACATTCTGCATATATGAATATTTTAATGACATTTAAAACCCCTTCCAAAACTTGCTTTCCAGACCATCGCAGTGGGAATGGTGAATTTAACTCAGCTACTGCAACATGGAGGATTACGAGAAATACCGCTATGGTCATCGGATAATAATGACAAACAATCTTCAACCGGTTCGTTCACTTTCTTCATTGCAGTTTAGAATCCTTTAGTTCTTCGGGCATCTAAAGTTTCATTGCTTTTTGATTAATACACTTGAGTCTGTTGAACATTTTGCATTATTTTCATTTTTGAAATGAAATATGTTTAATTGATGTGAAATTGCTTTATTCTAATATAGCTTTTTCCGTTTTTTTGTTGTCCAGATCTTTTGCGTTTTGTGCCAACCAACACTTAACATTCTAAACAGAACTTTTTGCAAGTAATCCATGTAAAACTTTTATTTGTGTTTCTGAGCTTCTGACAAACTGTTCTGAGCAAAAGGTGTTTATAAAAGACTTCTCATCCTCTTCAACACGGCGCGTTCACAGAACAGATACGCTCTGTACCACTCTGGCTTTGACAGCTCTTGGTCTATTTGGTTCCTTGCGGCTTTACGCTATTCTACTTCCAATCGAACTTTGTCTATCTATTTTTTTTAACCAATCTTTTAGAACCACTTTTTGAATTTACCAGCAAGTTTTTGTGGTATCACGACACATCTTCTTTTTGAGTGTTTTTTTTTGGTATTTGCACCTTGCATTTCAGTTAAAACTACAGTCATTTAGTGCAAAGTGTGGGTCGACTCTACCTGGTCACTTGCCAGTCTCAACCTCTGGAAATCGACTTGGAGCGCGACAGGATCAGCAAGAAGCATGGTGCACTAGAAGGAGACCTCAGCGAAGTAAGTAATCCGCTTCGAAGTAAATGAATGTGCATTCCTGAAGTTGTTGACTGTTCTGATTAAAATTTTCGTGGAATGTTTAGGAGGATTCCGACAGTGATTACGAGGACGCACCTGTTGACAGTGACGTCAATGAACCTAGTAGCGCTAGGAGTGCCGGGAGGTACTATTTTGATGAAGTTGTTTACCACATTTTTACTTCAAGGATGGATGTGTTTTGCTCAAATGTTTTACGCCATGAAAACAAAATATAATTTCAACGAGAAAAGGCCGAGTGTCGAATTTCTTCTTTTAAGGATATTTGAATTTGTATTTCATTTTAAGCTGTAAATTTATTTTGCATCCGGGTCATCATTTTGCATCCTTTTGTTCATGGTGCGTTTCTGCCATTTGAGAAAGTTCCTTCGGGGGTTTTTACCGAGTTCAAATGGATTGTAGATAAATAAGGCTGAGCGACTTAAATTCTCAAAAACGGGAATATCGTAAGGTAAACAGATACAAAAAGAATGTGTTTGTATAGAATCGTGATGTTTCGCCTGCTTGGCAAAGTTTCGCAAGTTTGGGATCATTCATGAGTAATGATTCATGGTTTCCCCTCCAGATTTATCACAGTCGTTCTGGTTATGCGACATTTCGACTCTGACTTTCGAAAATCATGTCGAACTGGTTTTGAATGGCTCTGTTGTTGAATAGTGCTATCAAATATTGTTTTTCGTTTGATGCGATGGAAAGTAATGCGTAGCGGTTGAGGTCCCATTATGTAGGTAGAGTAGATGTTCTTCAATCAACTTCCTTTCCCCTGGATTAGATAGACGGAGAAAAGGGCTGTTTAGCAGGAACGTGTTGGATTGATATTCCCTGTAGCACACTAAATTCAATTTAACGATAACAGCTTCTGTTACCTTTAATTGATAACTAGTTTTTTCTCGTGCTTCTTTTCTCTGTCCTCCCTTCTGGCTACGGTCTTCTTACCTAGCCTAATATTTTCATGTTACATTCGATTGAACGTATATCACTGAAAACTTGGTAGGTAGGATATGCTTTTACATTCTGAACTCCTTTTCTCTTTTTTTTTCGAGCTAGAATTTTGTAGTCAATCCATTGATAATCTGATGAAATCCCACTTCACGTGGGTAGATTGCGAGTGGGCATCATTGCGGTGTCCATTGGGTCTGTTAGAATCATGTCTTTGGCATTTTCTTCAAATCGTAGTGAATCGACCATGTTACAGTTCACCGATTTCAATTGTTTTAGGGGCCATACTGTTCAAATGAATCACAAGGCGTCCCGTGCAAGCCGTAAGAATAATATCAGGCAGAGATTCGTCACCCTATTGAAGAAATTCAAAGTGCCAGATGAAGAGGTGAGCGATGACCCCATTATTTCAAAAACTTAGTCGACATCGAAGTTTTTTTNTTTTTTTGCGGAAATATAACTAAAACCTTGCGCACCGCAAATGTTTTGATTGCAAGTGTATATGTCCTTTGTTTCAGAAGTTATTAACCCTTTGTTATCATTATCTGTAGAAAGCAATGATTAAGGGTCTTCCATCAAGATCAGACTCAGCTGCAATGGTGCCGACAGAGAAGGAACTGCAAGATCTGTTTGAGGAATTGGAAAACATGAGTGATTCAGGTACCATTTATTTTTTTCTCAGGCTGCTGACTCACTGAGCAAGCATTTGTTTTTTTGCAATGGAAAGTCTCATTCAAAGCTTTTTCATCTTCATAAGTGAGGGACCGATTCGCCTATATTTTCTTTCTTTCTTTTTCTCCTTGCTCAGGTTTCTTTTAGGTTTTTCTTTTAGGTTTCTCTTGAACCATCAGAGAATCCGCTGCCGTTCTTGTACTCACATTTTAAAGCAAGTAAACATGATATTTGGGATCCAATCCGATTTTCAAGAATTTCACTTGTTATTTATAATGTTTTTCATTTTTTTTTGTAGCTCTCAGTCTATATTAGTAAAATAAGGAGGCACAGTGATGTCGGAACCTTATTACTTGTGTCATGAGCAAAAGATGTTTTCCTTTCGTCCGTTATGTTTATTTTTTGTTAGCTTGAACCGAAAACCAGCTACAAGACGATCCAATCCTGAATTTTGGTCGGCATATTGCCAGTGTTGAGGTGTTGTAACCTACCGTTTGTATTCACTTTCAGGACCGGAAATGGCAGCGGATGATATATCCATAGGTAGCAATCCACGACCTGGTCTTCGTCCATACTTCACGCGATCAAAAGAAGTACTTCCGGCTATCTACGACCGAGTGAGTAATCATTCCGCCTTTCCTTAAATCTCCATTCAAATTGATCTCACCTATAATCAGTTTATGGTTCGTATAGTACTTATTATACTATTTTTATGATAGTAACAAAAGGGATCACACATAGTTTGAGGAGTAATAGAAATCAGTCCAATGTGTTGTAGGTCAGGTGCTATACGTCAGGTTAATCAGTCAAACCATGGACATTTAAATAAAGGGTCGACCCGCGACTTAAGATTGAAGTGGTTCATTGGCAAGTGGCGCACTATCATGTCCGCACAGTTCAGTGATGCATCCGGTAACGGTACTCGCTTAGACTAACCAAGCCCTCCATCCTTCTGAGATTAGTTATCTGGTAAGAGGCTCATCTAGGGGGATAGCAGCACTGACTCATACTTAGGTTTCTGAATGGAAGTCCCACACTGGGGCGCTCCTAAAAACAGCCATGGTCAACGATGAAAGGTTCTATTCTTCATCAAATTATCTCATAACTTCTAACTTGATTCTCTTTTAAGGACGCTGAAAACGCTTCCGAGAGTGAAGTGGAGGCAGAAGACTGGTCATCGGAAACAGAAAGGGAACGCGAGAAGGAAGAAATTCGGGCTGCTCTGGCTCACTCTCACGAAATATCGAAAGATTCAGTTACTTCTCCACTTGCTGGATTTGGCGAACAAGCGCACATACACAGTAGTGTTCCTACAGTGAGTTTAGCTAGTTGCAAACAACACACTTCCATATTTCCTTTTAAACCCTCGTTTTTTGAAGATACAGACTCGAGTTGGATTTACTAACAGTACTCCGTTGGCGGCAAGCACTTCTCTTGGTGGAATTTCCCATTCATTGACAGCTGGCTCAATTGCAAAGAAATTAACCAGTATAAATTCTGCAGACAAGGGGCTCTCTGTTTCCGATCAGGTAAGCTTTTAGCTCATGTTTAGATTTGGATCTGAAAGGGGAAGCAGTTGGACTACCTTCAGCTGTCGTCATTGCTGTCAGCCTATCCAGCAAAATCGGCTAGCTGCTGGCTTTGTTCGTTTTCCGACCTACCTCATCTGTCTTCAATTGCCGTACCAACGGTGAACTGCTCTTCCGCAAGTGTAGTGAAACAGGCGATGAGTCAGATTGTAAATACAATTCAAAACTTGTGAGTTTCTTTTAAATAGCACGATAAAGCTTTTGTTAGGATTGTGTTTTTTAGCTGTAACTCCAACTCATCTAACCCTCCAATAACATGGATAGGAGTCATAGGAGGGGATAGGCTTGTTGGGCAGGTTAGTTGAAGCTTAGAATCGAGTGTAGTATTGACTGGAAGTTAGTTAAAAGTTTATGGCTTACTTTCTAGATTTTGCGGGCTTATGTGGAATGTCTTCATCACAAATCCTCCAGCCATTGGCTACATTATCTTCGATTTGCAATCATACCTGCTCCTCACTCTTTGGTAGCAAAGCTACTTGAAGGTACATTCATCTTTTAGTCATGGGCTTCATTTTTTTGGTTTTCAAACGCTTCCAATCGTTTTCTGCTAGTGCTATTGTGGCCTTCTATTTCTTGCAGCATAATATTTTAGGGCATGATGCGGTACTAGACCAGCTATGTCGAGATATGTGGGAACGTTGGACTGAGCTAAGCCCTGTTGAAAAGCTCGCGAACACCGAGAAGATGAACGCATGGTTGACGGCTGGTGGAGGAGCATGTCTGAATCTTCCTATCGGAGAGGCACTTCTGCAATTGGTCGAAAGAGGACAGGATGTAAGTTGACCCGTTCATTTCCTAAGTGTCCAATTACGTTTCATTCTGACATTACATTCGTATTACTATCTTTTTCCTTTCTTTAGAATCTAAATTGTCAATCCCGTGGATTTGCTTTTTTGCGATATTTGATAGAAAGTTTTATAGGCGGATGCGTGCCGTGTCTTTGTGCCTTTTCTTGCCGAAGTTCGAGTAGGGCAGAGTTCTGAAGATGAGGATTCCCCTTATACTTTCTCATCCCCACGAGGAGTTGAGAGTGATAAGGAATTCAATCAGTCTGGACGGGAACGAGACTTTTCCGCAGGTGAGTTCCACTTCCCTTCACAGTACTAGCATTATAGAGTTGTTTTATTACACAGTAAACATCACATTAGTTCTGAACTTAATTAAAATTGGACAAATTCATTAAAACCGTTGCATCAATTCGAACATGATGGCGAGATTAACAATTAAGCATTACTCTACTTAGCTTTTAACATTACTTAGCAAATGCTATAAACTTTTTGCACGAACAATGGCGTTCGGAAGCAGCCATACATAAATTGAACATTGCGAAATTTGAAAGCGTTCTAGAAAATCATCCTCATAAATTTAGCTCTCAGTGGATCGCCTCCTAACAGCCCTCAGGTACGGACTGATGCTCATGAAATGCATGTGGAATATTGGCTTGGAAGAGATCCATCTAATGTGAGTTTAGTCGTTCTTCCAAAAATCGGGTTTCTGGCAATAGCAAGGAGTATCATCTTGAGCATTGCTATAATCTTCCAGGAGAACGTTAATTCGATGCCTTCCCAAAATGTAACTCCAAACTCCAAAAAGGACCTCAGTAAGGGTTCGATGAAGGCCACATTCCGAACACTCGTGATCACCCGGTATGTCAGCTTGAAAACATTTTCAATGCTTGTTTTTTATATTTGTATTTTTAATCGTTTTTCAGATCATGTAATCAGCACCTCTTGTCTTTGAATTTCGTAAAGGAAAAGAGGAAAGAGAAAATGTTGCAGAAGTTGGGCATGAAAAAGGGTCAGGTGAGTGCATGCCCTTGTCAAACATTCAAATTGCCTTGTCGGTCTTTAAAATGGAAATTCCGGAGGTCCGTTCCTCGACCGTATAGCAGGCGCGGTTATTGTTGACTTTGATGATATAGTATAGTGCTTGAACTTTTGAACATTTTGCTTTCGATAGAGTCATTCAGAATTCCATGTGCCATTGTCGTTTGTATATGATCCAGGCAGATTTTATGATTTTTGGGCTTTATTAGCTATTATAATGTTCACTTTTCCATTCTGTAGCTCTACCAGGCGAGCTTGGTATCACTTAACTGTCTGCAAAGGGTTAAAGGGCTTGCTAAGCTTCGGGTGCTTTAAATCCAAGCGATAATCAAATCCGCGGATTATTTAGCCTTTGCATTATTCTCGCTCGCAATATTCGGAGTTCTCCGATAGTACATATCATCTGAATAGCTTTGTTTTACAGCGATCGGAAAACGAAAACCCGCCAGTTCAAGTGACTGCCGTGTCACGTCTTCTTTGCAGTGGTGCAAGCAAGCACACTGATCTCACAGGTTTGCCTCGGCTTTCTTAACCACTTTTCTAGGTTGTTCCAACTACTCACACTGTTCCGCAAAATTTGGCGATAAAACTGATGGAAAATCAACATTTTTTCTTGCAGTCAGCGTTGATGGCTCCACATATCAGCGCGTTCGGTACTTCCAGTGCAGCTCGCAGTGGCAGACCCACATAAAATCTTTTCCCGTGTCACTTATATCCCAAGGTGTAGGGCCTATAGGCTTGTGATTTGTTCCGTTTTTCTGTACGTATCTGTGAAGTCATCTGTCGTCACTTGCCATGGTCTGATTACTGTAGATTACTCTCTCGATCAATGATATCTTTCATTACTTATTGTTAACCTGCGTTGCTTGCCTATATTGTGTCTATTGTTCGCTTTCCTCCATATATGCGCCTTTTTTTCTGATTCGTAACTCATTCTTGGTTGTACAACTACTGTTGTTCGCGGCATAGCTGTGCTTCGACATACTCATGCATGACTTTCTTTTTATTTGCCTTTCATTTACCTGATATACCTTTTCGAACAGTTTCTTGTTCTAACAACGTGTAGTGCTATTATGGGGTACGCAAAGTTTCCTCGTCTTCCGAAAGCATGCGTTTTTTTCTTGTCCGGTCATTTAAAATCTGAAGTTATTGGTGCTTTTCATACTGCTACATAATCTGTTGATTTACTTCATAATACTAGAGCTTATTGTCTATGACGCCGCAATCTGGTCCTCATTTATTTCACATTCCTCATGTAATGCTATTTGTGATTGATCAGTATTATGCTTATAAATATCAAATATCGAATTTTTGGGTGATTGTATCACGATTAATAAGTTGACTGCTCTCTTGGATCCTTGATTGGTAATCGCTCATTGTAGTCTGACGGCTCATCCAATGATTCAGGGCGTATAGTAGGGCAGAGAGGAGTATGATGGATGACAGTCATGTTGTTCGGAAAAGAAACGTGGCTTCAGTGATGATCTGTTTGATCGGAAATTTACTTCTAATTCTCATCGTACTGAAGTGAGGTTAGTTCGTTATATATCCCTCAAGCTCACGATAATTTTGAGGTCCCCCTTCCTATTCGGAAAGTGGAAGTATAGGTTGGGAATAGTTCATCGCTAGTGAAGGAAGCGTGAAAATCCGCCAGTTTTAGGAACTAAAGGCTCCTCAAAAGTAGGAAAAATAGGGCTTGGGCGAGATTGCCATGACGGAAGTAACTGGAAGGGGTATTCGGACGAGATCCCAGTTGTTGCAATTGCACAAGGGGCTGACTACATCAAGCCAGAACTATACAGAACTACCATTCACTGCTGCTATGGGTCATGACGAATTGCTTGAGCCTTGGGTTGCCTTGTAAATGGTGCAACATCCGCGATGCCGGTGAAACTCGTCTGAGCATGCACACAGTGCAATCTTGGAGCCTTTATAATACCTTAACTAGGCCGTCTTCCGACCGATGGCGCCAGATATGGCAAACGGGGGCCCTCAAATTCATCCTATGGAAAATATCAGAAGCCATTTTTGTTGTGACTGTGCCTTTGAGTTTTGAGAAGGTTTTGTGGCTTGTGGGAGTTGAAGGAAATGATCGTAGTCCTCAGTGGTTGTCAGCTCTTTTATGATGCCGTTCAATTTGGTCCTTTGTTTTCTTGGCGTCAAGTGGGGGCTATTGCTAGTGCACTCCAGACTCGGTAGTGCATTCTGACCAAAAAAGGGTCTTGAATTCACATAGGTGTTTTGTTAGGATATTTTTGAAGAGTACGTGAAGGTCTGGGCCGGGCCCTGGTAGAAAGAACGTTTTGATGCCCTAAGTATGTTGTAATATATTGAAATAGAACTTTAGAAGGAATTCAGAGCATCATAGGCTATGCAACTCCATATTTATGATACCACAAAAAGTTTGATATATATTTGAGCTAAACAATTCATTAAAGAAGAGTCAAACATTACAAAAAACTACAAGCAAGTAATTCAAAGCGGTTAACATATAAGATGTAGTAGTACACCTGGTAAATAAGACAAACATCCAGCGGCAGGCTTATGCCACATTCTCCTGGTCCTGATAACTGACGGCGCTTACGAAACTTGAAAATGATGACGAATCCATTGCTGCTGGTTGTATGCTGAAAAACTTTTTTATACGATTTTTTTCCCAAAACCAGAACGAAGCATTTCGACTTTGGTCAACCTTGTCAGAGTGGACCATTTATTCACCCTTCAATCGGTATAGGAAAAGACCCAATTATTCTTAATGCTGTACAGCGGGTTTTACTCGGAATCTGGTCAAGTAATGTTATTCCTTACAACATCGATGCAATTAGGGCCAAACCGAGGCGTCGTTGAACGGGTTGGCAGGGAATGTTTGACTTGATGTTCTTTTCAACTGCTGTTATTTCGTCGAAGTGCGCGATCCAAGAGGGCTCGAGGACAACTTTTGCCCCTAACTCGCTCCCTGTGAGACCTCGCCTCAACAAAGTAGAGTGAATGGCTTTGACAGGGTAAGACATAGGGTGATGTGCCGCATAATTGGAAGCCATGACGTTTGTAAGGGGTAAGGGTTAGGGCTGCTAGTACACAAATGAGAGTCACAAACTCTACGTCCAATCTCCCATTCAAACTTCATTTTTGGATAAAGTCCCCCTTTTCAAAGAATTATACTATTTTCTATTGAAACTAGAAACTGACTGTCCACGTATGATAGCTCTTTCCTTCAGCATTCGTTGTATATCCTCTGCTGTTACAGATTCAAAATACTCGTCGGCAATCGATGACGGTATTTCGGATACTGTGGCCTTTTCTTCCTCAATCTTCGGGTTTCCTGTTTTTGAAGGTTCACTCGACCCTTCACTAGACTGAATACTGGGTGATTTTTCCGCAGTCTCGATAGGGGTGCTGGTAATGAAGCCTGGTGACGTGCTTGATCCTAGTATGGATGATAGACCATAGGAGCCTGCACCCCAGAGACGAGGACGATTCCTGAAATGGAAAATAGTAACTTCGATCATTCTTTTTCACCACAAGTAGCTTATAGCTTACTCATAAGACTCATCTACTGTAGTGTTATCCTTCCCGGTATGAATAGCAATTGTCCTGAAATGGGGAGTTGTTGATAGCTCCAAGAAGAAACAGTCGGTGTGATATAGATCCCGATCATACTTCACGCATAGGTAACTTCTCTCAAGTGGCGATGGGGCCGATCATTAAGCCTCAGGGGTCTCGAGGGTATATTGGTCAGGAAGTGCCATGGGTTCAGAAACTGTTCGCCGGGATCACCGCGAAAACTTGTTTTAGGCGGGACCACGTTGGCTCTTCCTGACCCTTATCATGCCAAGGGGTTGTGACCTCTTTTCTGCACCTGCCAGTATGAGCAGTGTGTTTGGGAGATTCCACAGGGTGAAGCAGTGATTGGAGGGATTATACCGTATTTTTTCGTAGTAAGAGCTCACGTTAACATAGTGATAGCAGCAGTAAGTATCCTAGCTTTGACTAAGAAACAGAGGTTGCTTTCTCACTCCCACTCTATGGTATTTGCTTCTCCAGAGATCTAAGAGATTCGTGAAAAGCTCGAGCAGTGAATCCTAAGAAAAGTAAAGGTTCGTCGTAGCTGATCATAAACGCACCTCGAGATTTGTTTGTCAAGATGCGCTGACGACGAGCCCATTATGGCTGCGATAACGGCGATGGCATTCGGTTCCAATGGGATGATGGAGTTCTCTTGGGGTTTCTATCAAAGTGAAGACTGGATTATTTCGAAGGTGGTCGCGTACTTTTGCACAGTACCTGTCGTGCTTCCTGTGCTTCCTCAGGCGACGGAGGTTTCGATTTCATTGTTGGCTTCGTCTCTTCACGGGAATCCTCCGAGGACTTCACAGGAGTGGTATTAGCAATCTGTGTAGACTGAAAACTTTGTTTTGAACGGTTCTGCTTGTCTACCTTGAATGAGTAAAGCCGAGTGGGGCAAGCCGTTGCCAATCCAGAGTCCGCAACTCAATCTCTCATAGAAACTTGCCCAAAATCTAGCATTTTGTCCCTAGCTGTCAACCAACTGATACCAATTTTATCTTAGAGCACGGAATCATTGAGTGGGCTGGCCCCCGAAAATGGTGTGTAAGCCAAGCCTTCCCAAGTGTATTCGCGCGGTTCAATGATTCCAAGAAGGTGCGAGCACAGAGGCGTGTTTCAAAACGAAACTGATCGCCTTCATTTCGAAAAACGCTCTTACATTGGTTATCTCAACTGAAAGGGGAACTTGCTTACATTCGGCTGGTCCCTTGGAATGTTTGGAAACTCTTCAAGCCATGCCACAGGAATAGCGTCGTTTCGCGGCCCGCTGGAAAGGTTGCCGTTCTCATAGTGAAGGGCGAGGTAATTATGCTCTGCTCTTGAAATATGTGGACGTACGGTTGTTCAGAGTTAGCCGGTTGACGGTGTCGCCGACGATTTCGATCGCCTTGAAGGCGTTTATAGGTGAAACCGACCATCATCAAAATCGACACTAATGCCATCACTACACCGAATGCACAAACCAGAAGAACGGAAAAATCTGAAGTACGTTCACAATACATAGTGAATGGCAACTGGGCTTCTTGATACCCGGAAAAGTGGCACTTGGCCTGCGAATTCGCCAATTAAAATGTGTATTATTTCAAGAAGCAAGTCTCACCAGACATACGAATCAGCATAGGTTGGGCATTGAGTTGGGTCGTGGTGATGAATGGTCCGTTTTGACCAGGACTATCGGGAATTGCACGATACTATCGGTTTTCATGCCATTCGCAATTCTCTCGATGAACAGAAGCAGCAGAGTTAGCTTATCGACAGCTTCCATACCATATCGCCTCGCAATAGGCAGCACACAATGCTTCAGTTGAGGGTCGTGCCGAGACTAGAGCCTCAAGAATACTCTGCTTACCCATCCGAACTGCTTACCTTACCTTACCTGTCTTTCGGCACAGCCTTTAGCATCAACTCTAATGAATCGCTCAAAGCTAGCTGGCAAAAATCTAAACGAACACAGCGTACCACGTGGATCCTTAACATGGCGGGGAATAAGTGACCTCTCGGGTTCCACAGTGGCTGATTGAGCGAGCATGAACTGCTGAGGGCTGGTCGTGTGGGCGACAGCGGATAGATTTGCGCTGAAAATGGAGGAAGACTGAGTAGCATTCGATGGAACCTCTTCAACAGAATCTAGGGTCTGGAGTTGTTAACTTGTAAGCGCTTCTAGAAAACTGCTTCTGTATATTCCATCGTCCCAAAAGGGAGATCTTATTTCAGCCTTCCGAGCCAGTGAAGGGTTAATATAGTGAAGTAGGAATGGTCCGTCTTTATTTGGCATTAGCCGAGTTTTTTGTGAATACTTCGAGTTTTTGTCAAGGTAAATTGGGTAATACCAGCCCTTCCAGTAAAGGACTCATTGATACCATCAGTAGAATGGAGGTCCACCTATCCCGCTCTCAAACTATGGCTTCAGGCATGGTTCCATCTGTTGAAGAAGGATTCTTTCTTCAATTCTCACAAGTCTTCTTCACCGTTTCCTTATCAGGAACTAGTATATCGCTGGAAATTGATTCCGTGATCTTGTGTGGGGTGGGGACGCAATTTTAGTAGCGATTTTGGCTAGCCAAGGTGTTTTGACCTAGGAGATGGAATTTCTACCAGTTAGCCCTACCAATGTCATAATCTCTCCTCCCCCC